TGGGAGGAAGCTAGTGTATATACGACAATGGGAAGAAGCTAGTGTATATACGACGATAGGAGGAGGCTAGTGTATCTACGACAATGGGAGGAAGCTACTGTATACAATGGAAGTATTCTAAACGAGCTGTGCTACAGTTACATAAAAAAACGACAATGGGAGGAAGCTAGCGTATATACGACAATAGGGGGAGGCTAGTGTATATACGACAATTGGAGGAGGCTAGTGTATCTACGACAATGGGAGGAACCAAGTGTATATACGACAATAGGAGGAGGCTAGTGTATATACGACAATAGGAGGAAGCTAGTGTGTATACGACAATGGGAGGAAGCTAGTGTATATACGACAATAGGAGGAAGCTACTGTATATACGACAATATGAGGAAGCTACTATATATACGACAATGGGAGGAAGCTACTGTATATATAAGACAATAGGAGGAAGCTAGTGTGTATACGACAATAGGAGGAAGCTAGTGTTTATACGACAATGGGAGGAAGCTACTATATATCCGACAATAGGAGGAAGCTAGTGTTTATACGACAATGGGAGGAAGCTACTGTATCCACGACAATAGGAGGAAGCTAGTGTTTATACGACAATGGGAGGAAGCTACTGTCTATACGACAATAGGAGGAAGCTACTCTATATACGACAATAGGAGGAACCTAGTGTATATACGACAATAGCAGGAAGCTACTGTATATACGAAAATAGGAGGAAGCTACTGTATATAAGACAATAGGAGGAAGCTAGTGGATATACGACAATAGGAGGAGGCTAGTGGATATACGACAATGGGAGGAAGATACTGTATATACGACAATAGGCGGAAGCTACTGTATATACGACAATAGGTGGAAGCAAGTGTATATACGACAATAGGAGGAGGCTAGTGTATAAACGACAATGGGAGGAAGCTAGCGTATATACGACAATAGGAGGAGGCTAGCGTATATACGACAATGGGAGGATGCTAGTGTATATACGACAATAAGAGGAAGCTAGTGTATATACGAAAATAGGAGGGAGCTAGTGTATATACGACAATTGGAGGAGGCTAGTGTATATACGAAAATGGGAGGAAGCTACTATATATACGACAATGGGAGGAAGCTACTGTATATATAAGACAATAGGAGGAAGCTAGTGTGAATATGACACTGGGCTGAAGCTAGTGTATATACGACAATAAGAGGAAGCTAGTGTATATACGATAATAGGAGAAAGCTAGTGTATATACGACAAGAGGAGGAGGCTAGTGTATATACGACAATATGAGGAAGCTAGTGTGTATACGACAATAGGAGGAAGCTAGTGTATATACGACAATAGGAGGAAGCTATTGTATATACGACAATTGGAGGAAGCTACTGTATATACGACAATGGGAGGAAGCTACTGTATATACGACAATAGGAGGAAGCTAGTGTATATACGACAATAGGAGGAAGCTACTGTATATACGACAATAGGAGGAAGCTACTGTATATACGACAATAGGAGGAAGCTACTGTATATACGACAATAGGAGGAAGCTACTGTATATACGACAATAGGAGGAAGCTACTGTATATACGACAATAGGAGGAAGCTACTGTATATACGACAATAGGAGGAAGCTACTGTATATACGACAATAGGAGGAAGCTACTGTATATACGACAATAGGAGGAAGCTACTGTATATACGACAATAGGAGGAAGCTACTGTATATACGACAATAGGAGGAAGCTACTGTATATACGACAATAGGAGGAAGCTACTGTATATACGACAATAGGAGGAAGCTACTGTATATACGACAATAGGAGGAAGCTACTGTATATACGACAATAGGAGGAAGCTACTGTATATACGACAATAGGAGGAAGCTACTGTATATACGACAATAGGAGGAAGCTACTGTATATACGACAATAGGAGGAAGCTACTGTATATACGACAATAGGAGGAAGCTACTGTATATACGACAATAGGAGGAAGCTACTGTATATACGACAATAGGAGGAAGCTACTGTATATACGACAATAGGAGGAAGCTACTGTATATACGACAATAGGAGGAAGCTACTGTATATACGACAATAGGAGGAAGCTACTGTATATACGACAATAGGAGGAAGCTACTGTATATACGACAATAGGAGGAAGCTACTGTATATACGACAATAGGAGGAAGCTACTGTATATACGACAATAGGAGGAAGCTACTGTATATACGACAATAGGAGGAAGCTACTGTATATACGACAATAGGAGGAAGCTACTGTATATACGACAATAGGAGGAAGCTACTGTATATACGACAATAGGAGGAAGCTACTGTATATACGACAATAGGAGGAAGCTACTGTATATACGACAATAGGAGGAAGCTACTGTATATACGACAATAGGAGGAAGCTACTGTATATACGACAATAGGAGGAAGCTACTGTATATACGACAATAGGAGGAAGCTACTGTATATACGACAATAGGAGGAAGCTACTGTATATACGACAATAGGAGGAAGCTACTGTATATACGACAATAGGAGGAAGCTACTGTATATACGACAATAGGAGGAAGCTACTGTATATACGACAATAGGAGGAAGCTACTGTATATACGACAATAGGAGGAAGCTACTGTATATACGACAATAGGAGGAAGCTACTGTATATACGACAATAGGAGGAAGCTACTGTATATACGACAATAGGAGGAAGCTACTGTATATACGACAATAGGAGGAAGCTACTGTATATACGACAATAGGAGGAAGCTACTGTATATACGACAATAGGAGGAAGCTACTGTATATACGACAATAGGAGGAAGCTACTGTATATACGACAATAGGAGGAAGCTACTGTATATACGACAATAGGAGGAAGCTACTGTATATACGACAATAGGAGGAAGCTACTGTATATACGACAATAGGAGGAAGCTACTGTATATACGACAATAGGAGGAAGCTACTGTATATACGACAATAGGAGGAAGCTACTGTATATACGACAATAGGAGGAAGCTACTGTATATACGACAATAGGAGGAAGCTACTGTATATACGACAATGGGAGGAAGCTATTGTATATACGACAATAGGAGGAAGCTACTGTATATATACGACAATCCACTGTGACTTGGGGCAGAGATGTTATTAGACTTCATTAACTATACCCAAGATGAATATGGAGTAGTTTTGGCGGTGATTACAGGATCACGCAATTCTGTTGGCGAGAACTTAAGCAGACCTACCTACAGAGGAAGAAGATTAACGAGTTATCTATAATTAATGGAAGTATCAGGTAATTTCTAGCAGTTCGCTTGGATCACTGACTTAGGTGTGTATACGCCATCGACTGGGAATTTCCAGGTGAGAAACTCGAGGTGTTTTATCGTGTACGATGATTGGTTTTGTATCAATTTTTAATTCATAGTTCAAATATAATTACGTAACAATTGGCAAAATGAGCTACTTTTATGCATCCTATGTATCATCGTTCTTTAAAAGTGAAAAAATGCTTATTCTAGTATATATCCAGTACAAAGCATGGAATGGCTGTGAACATTAAAATGGATGATGAAAAGGAATCATGTTCTTTCTAGGTAGTTCATGTATACAGGTAAACGTGTGTTTCCCTATTCACATGGGACTATACAACCAAGGAGTAAATGGATCATGTAGCACTAGTTAAAACGCGCTTCAGATGAACTTCATTTGCAATGAAAAAATTACAAGGAAAAAAGACAATTATCGTACTAGTAAAGAAACCATGGTTTTCGGCAATTCTCGACAGTAATTAATACTGAGATATAAACAGGAATGACTGAGATTCCGTGTATAAATGTTGATTTAATTGAACGCACATCACAAACGGATTAAGCAACAATTCTTGGATTTTCGTTCATTGCCAAAATGTGTTAAAACTAGAATTGACATTTTATCGGCTGCCTCGGATTGTGACAAACTTCTCGATATGAATACTAATGAGTTTACAGGGAAGAGTAATTTGGTGAAGCTGCATTTCTCATTTCAAGATTCAATTTAGGAAATCGAAATGGAATCGAGCGCTGAATGGCTAGAGCCTGTTATATTTGATTATCGTCGGCCTGGAATGACAGAGCAAATCACAAGTGTGCAGGTCTAATATAGATCGAAAGGAACAGATGAACATCCCATATCACTCCTGCCCTTGTGTTCTGGAAGATCGAGCGTCACAGAAATAAATGCGAACTGGTTCATACAGTATTTTACAACGCGTGTATAGAGTAATACAGAGGGAATAAAGACAAGATGTTGATTTTGAATACACTTGAGGATACCCTATGACAATTGGCAAATTACACAGTGTTATTTAATGAGACAAAATTATCAAAATTACACTCGAGAGACAAAGTATGAATACATGAGTATATCAAATATATAAATCAATAGCGTCATTGTGTCTTAGATTTCGTAATTTACGTGGACATTTGTCGAAAATAATATTTGACTTTGAGTGACAACAATGCAAAATATTGGCTGTTTTCATTCGGGAGAAGGTGTGACTGACGTATCATACGCATAAAGAGTGTGCGCCCTATGATTGGTAGAGTTCTTCGTGGGATTGTTGTACTCCGCCATGATGTTTTCGATAACACTTTAAACTTGTAAAAGCAAATAATAGAACTTGCACTTTCCAGTGAATACATTCCCAAACATTCCGTCTGAAGATGGCAAAGATGCTGTGACAGCGTTTAGCACATCAGCTTTTGTATAAAAACAAACAGTTATCTTCAGCAATCGACATTTTCCAACAGGATGTAGACCGTAAAAAGTACACCGGCATAGCTTGTAAACATGAAAGTATACATAACATGTCCCGTATGTGGAACGAAGCTTTGTGGCGTTAGAAGCATTGTAACTTATTGCTTTCCTATCATTGAAAACAAGTTATTATAGCCCCTGCAATACGCTTTTTACGGCTTCTGATACAGAGGTGGGCTGTATTGATGTGGATTGGTCCGCTATTTACAAGCCTGCTCAGCATCAGAGGAGACACGTTATCAGAGCTTCCCCCGTGTGCGTGCCCTTCATCAGCGCTCATGAATGAATATAGAAAACAGGAATAGAAAACACGAAAAACTCATCACTTTTTCTCTCCCTTTTTATTCCGTCTGGAAGCTATGGGAAAGCTAACACGTCTCTGGCTATTGTCACGCGTATTGGACTCTGAGTGTCACGGAGAAGTGTCTATAACCCCATACAAATGGTGGCTGTCGTTATGACTGGCAGGGATCCTACATCTGTCGCTATGTGAGGATTGAAGTACATAACAGTCGTGGGTGGAAACGTACCGGGTTCGCCTGTTATAACTGTGTGTACCAACAATGGAAATCATGTAGTATTGTTGTCGTTGAGACCTTTGAGGATGACATACGTTCAACAATAGGAAAACGTGAAAACGGAATTGAAAATTGAACAAATTTTCAATATATATAATCTGTGTACTATCAAAACACTATCTAATTAACGGAAAGTGGATTTAATTTATCTGACAATTAGTTCTTGGATGAAAGTTGTGGAATTTGTAACCGTTCAGTAAGGAGTTGAAAATAAGTTCAGTGAAAAACGGATCCAAACATATGGATACCCTATTTCCGTGGGAGCTTTAAGTGACGCTCTGAAAAGCGTTTCTGGCAAACATGTGAGTAGCTTATGAATTTGATTATCAAAAGAATTAATTTCATCTGAAGATATATTTTTTTCTTCTAAATATCAATTTCAAAATTTCATTAACAAGGTCGATCCATTTAGAGAACAAAATTAACGTCGTCGCTTGGTGAAATGACGCTCTTATGGAAAGTGTGATCATGTGCAAAATACAAATGGCCATTTCCAATCACGTAATATTGCGAAGCGGTGGAGCGCTGCCAGTCGTGGGAGGAATGCATAGTGTCTTGTTCTGAACTGCTTGTAAACGAAATACACAAATGTCATGCAAAGCTGTTGCTGCTTTTAGATCAATCTGTTGTCGAACATTCTAAAAATATGGAATGACAAGTGTGTCTTTTTATTGACATTATTAGAAGATGTGCTAAGTTGTCGTAAATGGTTTCTGTCAATAGCAATTCTTCAGCAAAGCTAATCATATGACGCCTGGAATGGTGTGGAATTAATGGGAAGTTCTAGTGTTTTGTCAACTTATAGGACTTTAATTTTCCTATCTAGAGAAAAGAAACTTTGAAATGGCAAAGGAGAAAATCGTAACCTAATAAGAGATCCTTATAAAACTTTTGGGTGTTGTAAATGTCATGGTGTTGAAACTGTGAATGTTTTATCTACGTGAAAACAAGAACACATTTTGTGCATGTTATCCATCACGTTTTTAATGTGGATTAACTAATGATTTTGGGAACTGTATTTTAAAGAATCTTAACACCCTTGCCAAGTCAGTTTAGGGGATAACACCTACATTCCTCGGTGATGAATTCCTCCGTAATATACGCTGTGAACTCGACGATTACCGGACTGACTCGTGAGGAATCTGTCAGATCGTACAAAGCCCTGGTCCATCGGTCATCATCCGGGTCCTCCGTCACACTTAATGAGGAAGGTGGCATGAGAAATGAAACAATTATAAAGGTTGTCGCCCTTTCCATCATTATTGTGATGGGAATATTTGGTAACGTCATGGTCATCTACTCTATCGTGAGCAACAAACGATTTCACAAGCCTCCGTTTTATTATCTAATCAGTCAGTCAATCTCGGATCTGTCCAGGGCTGTGTTTTGTTTGCCGTTTGTTTTGGCATCGGTCGCACAAGGATCAGTGTGGCGTCACGGTGATTCTGCCTGTACCCTTTTAGCTTTTGCAAACACGTTTTTCGTATTTAGTTCAGCAGTTTCGTTAATGGCTATCGTCGTCGACAGACATTTAGCCATAGTGTATTCCCATTTCCATAGAAGAAGATCCCAAGGATTACTTAACTTGGCCATTGTGATACTAGGTTGGTTGGTGTCCTTTGCTGTATCTTTCCCCCCTGTGTTCGGAATGGGTACTTATCGATACATTCCGGAAGAATCACAGTGTGCTTTCAAACACAAGCGTTACAGAAAGAACGATACATTAGGATTCGTTCTGGTCTTCTCTGGAGTCATCATAACAACACTATTTTTGTACGTAAGGATATTTATATTCCTTCGGGATCACAGAAAGATGCGTCCGCTCTTCCGTGAACCACCTCGAAGCAACAACTGGACATTTTTTGGACCGGGAGCGAATGCACAGGTTGTGATTAACTGGCTGAACGGAATGCCGATGGGACCACCAGCTCAAATGCCTACAATCACCCAGAACCTAAGCCAAACCACAGGACGTGTTGTGAATTTACGCACGAGAAAAAACGAGCATCTGTGTCGAACGTTTTTTATTGTAACAGTTACCATGTATTCGCTATGGATACCGTACCTAATGCAAGCCTATATCAGTATCTTTGGTAAGGAGAGATCTCTGTCTTCAATATTTATCACTGTTTCAGCATGGCTGACATATTCTCAAGTTGGTATAAGCCCTTTTGTTTACATTTTCACTAATAATTCTTTTAGGCGGAAGCGTGATACAAAATCCGCAAACAATCCCCATTACGGTCATGAAGCGATCCCTCTGGAATAAGACTTATAAGCATTACTAAAGAAACATTGTGAAGACTACTTATTAAAAAAACAATGCTAGTTATAGCACTGACTAACGTCATTTTGCTGTGTTCCGGAAAACAATAATTGCCAATGATCGGTTCGATAGGCCAAACTGTGTTAGCCGTTAGTTATTGTCAGAGCTTTATTGAATCCGACCAATTTGTGTCAAAACAGTTAGTTATACTCATATGTCATGACAGAAAATTAGGATAGAACAATCCACTTTACGGTTTGGGGAGTTACCGATCAATTTATACAACGAAACGATAACGCGTGTGTCATGACTCTGTATCACATGGAAGCTTGTAATAAGATAAACTGCGTCTCACAAACTCTTGCACGACAATAAAATTTTATTCGAAAACAAAGGCAATGTTATATTGATTTTTTGAGACCTTGTACAAACCAAGCCAAATACTTGTATAGGACCTCATCAAATTCGTATATATCTTCTTGATCTGCATGTTACATTCAACGTGCAATTTCTTTTTGCCTCACATCCTCTTTGGAATCACATTTCGACGTATGTGATGAATGAGAACACAACTAACGACCTTCATTTCTTCCAACATTTCGTTTAAGGTTATATGCTACCTTGATATGAACTGGGTAACATTTTGTTTTACAAAGAGCTCCACAAAAAAAGCATATAAGATGATTTGTTATTACCCAAATAAGCCAAGACACAGTTAAAATAATATAAACAGCATTCATTAAAACACCGAGATTGCCCTGAATTATAAATTATTTTTTGGTATTTTTGTTTTTTTTGTTTAAAATGTTTTGCTACGCTTATCACTTGTTTTATGAGTAAGATATTCCTTCCGGACATTGCGATTCAAGTTTTTTGCTTATTTCAGGTAAGTTTCCTCTAAAACAATTAATTTCTCATCGACGATATTTCTAAACGATCTATCGTAACAGGAAGGTTAATACATTGATTATATATTTGGTACAACTGTTCTCTGTGTAGTGTCATGTGACCAGACTAATTGGGATGGATGTATGAACAGTGGGCGTAGTTAATGCCGTAATGTCCGATATAATTGATAAATATGTTATTTATCTCTCGACTAACACGTGTGGTGTATAAAAGGTCATTTTTCATGTATGCTCATAAACGTCATAGAGGATTATATGAGATTCCGGCCGTACCATATCAACCTTCTGGGTGTCCGTTTCATAAGTGATTTATGATGCCATTAATAATTCTAGAATTTTTCTATATATCTATATATATATTTATCTGAGTTTTAACAATTTATAGATTCTTGTGTACCTTTCGTTATGTGTCTTCAATTCCAGTGTACCTTATTAATGCGTCATCAATTCTCGTGTGCCTTTAAATGTGACATCAGTCCTTGTGTAACTTTATAGTTTGTCATCAATTCTTGTGTACCTTTTAACGTGTAGTTAAATCTTGTGTAGCTTTTTAATTCGTCATCAATTAAATAACCCAACCCAAATTGTCATTTATGATAGATGCTTTACTCGTGATGGAGCTCTCTAGGAACGGATATACATGTCACAATTCGGTAGCATACATCCTTAATGTCCTATCAATCACGCTTCCAAACACTCATACGTAGACTTCGGTTGTCTAAAACGGCGTTAACGTAAAGGGACATCAAAACGATGTTTTAAAGTTGATTTTCAAAACTGTCTGTTTCACTTGTGTTTTCATGTAGTTAAAATCCGATATTTTAACATCCTGAGACATGTGTTTGTTGCTATAAGTTCCTATAATTATGAAAATAGGGAGGTAACTGTTATGTTTGGCTTAACTTCATTACGATGCTATGATATCGTAACTTCGTTATATTTCTTTCCTTTCTGTATATGTTGCTAAAAATATTTTTTACACAAAAAACAACAACAAAACGTTTAATCATTTTCCTCACTCATCCGCTTAGGAAATTGGTAAAATGACAATAAACAAAAGTAACAAACATTTTAATACCAAGCAGACTAAATAAAATATAATTTATGTAAAACATGATCCTTTTTTGTCCAGTTTTGGTTCAATATGTTTCATTGGTTGTCACTAAAAGGATAATGTTATTCCAAATGGAAAAACCGTTTATGTTTTAAAGGGTAAACAGCTCGTAAAGCATTGTGCTAACGTTTTCTAACACCGTTAAAGATAACGCTCTGGTTGAAAACCATTTATTATTCATGTTGTTTTCACGAGACTTGTTTATAAGGCGAGTAACTAGACAATGTGATCGCCGAGAGTTTTCTCATTTCCCTTTTAACACTAAAACAATCTCTAACTGTTTGACAGAGAGGAAGCAATCACGTTACTTTAAATGTATTTTAACAAGGCACTCGAAGTCATGGTAACAACGAGCATTTTGTTTTCACCTGATAATGTACAATTTTCTTTTCGTTTTTGCTAAAACAAAACAGTTTAACTTTTATAATAATGTTAGTAAGAGTTGTCACCAGTTACACATATTGCATCGAGGGAGAGGTTCTAGCGTTCCATATTTTGAAGGTCTTTTGTATCCTCATAGTTCTTGATATTTAAAACTGTATTGACTGTAGAAGAGACAAAGCCTATTCCTTTCCCACTAATACCGAAGACGTTATGATAATAGAAGGCAGAATCATCGTCGAACAATCTCATCAATAAGCACAACGTGAATTATTTATTATTTATTTGTTTATTTATTTAATCATTTATTTATTTATTTATTTATTTATAATGCTTTCACGTACATGTCAATATCATATAAAAATGCCTGTCATTATTGAAAATGTCAATTTTTTTTTGTCTTATACATTTTCGTCTACGATGATCCGTCATTCCATTGACATATCTTCCTTGTTACGCGTCCTCGAGTATGGATAAAACAGTTGGTATACAACTTTGAATAATTTGGATTTGATAGCCACCATTACAAAGGAGGTGTCGTTTTAACTTTATTGGATTCTCCTTGCCGACTTGCCGTACGCGGGCTCACCGTGTTAGCATTATTCCTCCTCCTTAAGGCTTCCCCCTGGGGAGACTTGATAAGGTTATAACTATCGATTATACGTCTTCAAGATCATCAAGTGCAAAAGAACAAAAGTTGAATTACCATCCCACTGTCATGACTAGGCATGTGGCGTGTGTCGCCTCTAGTGTGCGTGCATGTGTGGCGTCGGAACAAAAGCTATTCCTAACTATACCAGTCTTTATAACAATACCAGTCACGGAATCATCTAACTTACATCAAACCATACAATCAAACCATACAAACTACCTCACTCGAACATCTCATGGTGAACCATACCAACAAACTATACAATCGATCTCGCTCGAACATCTCATGGTGAACCATACAAACAAACTATACAATCGATCTCGCTCGAACATCTCATGGTGAACCATACAAAGAAACTATACAATCGATCTCACTCGAACATCTCGTGATGAACCATACAAACAAACCAAACAATCTATCTCACTCGAACATCTCATGATGAACCATACAAACAAACCATACAAAATATCTCAATCTAACATCTCATGATGAACCATACAAACAAACTATACAATCAGTCTCACTCGAACATCTCATGATGAACCATACAAACAAACCATACAAAATATCTCACTCTAACATCGCATAATGAACCATACAAACAAACCAAACAATCTATCTCACTCGAACATCTCATGATGAACCATACAATCAAAACATACAAAATATATTATAAGTCAAATTCCATTCTCAAATCATAAAAATAATTTCACACATTTTATATTCATATAAAATATAGCACGTTTCCATAGCTTGCTTATTGCTATATTATGTCCTTACAAAATAGTTTATATTTTCCCGGTGGCGGGAGGCACGTATGTTGCCCTAGTTGTCCGGCAGGTAACACATATTTTCTGTTTTCAAAATTAATCCTATAAAAGATTTTGAAGATTTTCATCTTTGTCATATGTCATATTACGTTCGAAATATACAAAATATATCATACCCTCACTCGATATACCTACCATGCAACACGACTGTACTACAAACAACCAAGACACGTTCTCGCATGATAAGCGTACAAACGACCAAACAGTGCACATGTCTGTCTCTTGGTCAAACAAAACTTGATATTTTCATAACAACCAAGCCATTTCCAATGCCAATCCCATTTCATGATACCATCATGCATATCATATCACATATCATACCAAGTACCAATTAGATATTTTCGGACCTTTCCGACAAACACCGCTGATTCTCTTGTCTTTCGAGACATTCATGGAAGTTCGGATTGATCATACAATGCCGCAGACGGCTATTTCATGATCAAAGCATGCAAATTACATCACACAATCATGTTCTATGATCATGTAAAAGGCATTCTCGATTTTTTTCTAACGAACACGATGATCAATTTAACTTTGGTAGTTATAGGACGGTAACAAAGGAAATAGATGTACAGAATAACAACTAGACTGTATCATAGACGTCATTGATGTGGTGCCATTTACAATATGCTAGAAATTGGAAAGACCTTATAACGAGTATATTATAAATGTCATGCTTTGCTACCAAATGTCGCATTAATTTCTCTACCATACTAAATTCTAACCTTTTAGTAGATATGCACATGAATCATTCAGCGAAGTAGGTCTACTTGTAGACATGCCAAAACATTTCCTTCCATTGCTATTATAATAGATAGTGTATATATCATATGTATTAAATCATATCATAAACAATAAATTGAATAATGTTAACAAGAACGAAAATGTTCATTGTATTTTTTCATGATTTTTTTAATTTTACATTTAATATAAGGATTTACCGGCATTTTTTCGATTTCATGCGTTCATACCGGCATGAACATTGAAAAAAATGCTGTTCAATCTTTAAAATTGCACTCAATGTTTACTCATTACTGACCTGAATACAGATATTAATTAAGCTTCCGATATCCAAACGAGATTCCCGGCACAGCCTAACGTCATCAAAATGCTTGCTTCTAGCGAGTTGCGGGAGGAGCGAATTTGAAATGACACTGATCAAATGACGTGTATAGCTCTGTGAACGCAACTGTTATGTTAACGCTTATAGAGAAACTTGCAGTGGAAACGTAATTATATACAGGATCTGACACGAATGTTCATGTAATATTGAATTTATTGAACGAGTTTATTTATTTCATATGAAATTAATAAACGAGTTTAATAAATTCAATATTACATTAACACGAGTGTTAGATTCTATTTATTATATAATTCGAGAAATACTCTTTTTTCCTGATACGTCTCCTCTATATAAATTTTACCGATGGCTGACGAAAGGACGCATTACATGCATTTTGTTTAGAGCTCGCTGCGCAACAAAAAATAGTTTCAGAAA